GGGACCCTGCAAGTTAAACTCGCTTCCATGGTTTAGTGAATTCACAATCTCGGATGCACCCTTTGTTGCACAGAGCGTTCATTAGAGTGATAGAGCGTGAATTCCCAAGGGCTAAGACCATATGTAGAACACATATGGGTCCATAAAAGTTGAAAAACTCAATCACAAAGTAAAATCGGTAAAACATGACTAGAATCATGCAAAACACGAAAGCAGAAAACTGGCGCAATGTCGAGAGAACTTAATGGAGAAAAAAGAGTCTATCGCGTCGCGATAGAGTTGTCGTTTGGCGATGGTCTCTGTCGTCTCGCGACAGTTCAAGCGCATCGCGACAATTATGGAATTCGACGATTTTTCCAAACTTTTGTAGTGCTTATTCGATTTTAGTTGTGAAAGATATTCCCGGCTTTTCCTACGTGTAAAGTCCTATGTTTTTGATGCATTACGGATGGTCTTTCCAATGCAAACCTTTTTATGCTTATGCCACAATGTTAATCAAAATTACGCACAATGACCATCTAGAATATTTCAAGTCTCATCCACTCATTCTGAATCGATTGCCAAAATAATTATAGGAATCAAAATTAGAAATCCTCCCCAGTGGAGTCACCAAAAATTGCAAGGAATTTTTCAAACTCAACCTTTTGAGCCCCACTGTGTTCATGCTTTTAAGCATGACGGCGCTCCAAGGGAAGGAAGTTAGAAATAGAAGAGTCGCCAATAAGTTTTAGAAATAGAAGAGTCGCCAATAAGTTTGAGAAAAAAGATGATAATAATACTGTAATAATTGATAATGTTATTATTCTAATTACCTTTTTTTAGGTAAACTCTAATTACCTTATATAATAGTATATATATATAATTTACCTAGTATATTATTGAAGATATGTCAAATATCTAGCTAATTGTATACATATTGAATATGATTACCAAAATGAGAAGACAATAATATTAGTTACTGTATAATTTGAGATTTTTTTTTTTTTGAAGAAAGGAATGAGATTTTTAATCTGATACATTTTTGTAGGTCATATTATAATATACTTTGTACATATAAGTGAATCAATTGTAATTTAAAAATATATTATTTAATATAATTTCCTTAATTACATAGGAGACATTGCATTTATATATATAAAAAAAATAAAAATTTCATTATCAAGTGACCTAAATATATTTGTATAATGTAAGCGAATGATTTTCTAATTTGGTAAATATATGATAAATATTTTTTTAAAATAAATATATGGAATATCTTGTATATATTCAATGAAGGGATATTTAAAAAAAATAGATTTTATTTAATAAAAAAAAGTTCGAGGAAAAAAACAGGCCAGTTGACCAAATTGGTAAATTAAAAAGACCCATAGCGACAATTTAACTAAAATAGCTCCGGCGACAATTTGGTAGAAAAAGCTAACCACAAATGACAATTTGGTAAAAAAATATCATCTTAGGCGACAATTAACCCAAAATATACAAATAAAATTCCGACAAACTACTCGCAAATGCTTAATTTAGTTCATTTTTTTCGTGGTTTTCTTACCTAAATCTCCAACCCCCTTTTTGGAATTAACCATTTGAAGAAAAATTATTGTTTAAATATTAAGTTCACATAATTTTCCTACCCTTTATTATCGATTTTTTTTTAAAAAAAAATGGGGTTGGAAATAAATTTTAGATCAGGATATAGCAAAATAAAAGGAGATGACATATTAATTTAAATTTTAAAATGGAAAAAATAATTTTAAAAAATACAATAGCGAATTGAATTTGGAAATTTGAAGACTTTATCGGAAAATAAAAATTAGATATTTTGGTCTAAATAGTTTGATGCTCATCACCTTTTTTGTTCGTAATGTTCCTTATGTTTTTCAAATTGAATGTTATATTGTCATTATTGATAAGTACTATTTTGTATTTTGTCAATTGAATTGTAGTTAATTGGTTTCGTACTTTCTTGCAATATTTGTGAGTAGTTCTTTAAAAACAGGAGTTGATTGACCCCTAGCTTAGTGAGCCATGACTTCTTACTTTCACCTTGTATGCACGATGAATGTTCATGTAATTTGGTACTTGAAGTAGTGAATTTTCATTTATCGAGATTGGCTAAAAGCCATAAATTACCCACTTTTAAATTCTCTCTTGAGCTTTGTCCTTCTCAACTTGATTAAAACCGTATATGGAAGTTTGTTGCATGCATTAGAGAAATTACAATAGTTATTCCAAGTCAAGCTAAAATAAACATGTTGAATGAAGGAGTAAAGTGGTTAATATGTAAGTACTTAAGGCCGCCAGGCCGGTAATAAGGGGTCTTAATACCACTTATAATTGACTCAAGTCAGACTAACATTTCGAATTGAATTTGGGTTTGAGTGGAATTCCTTTTAATCAAACTATATCATATACAAGTAGATTGCAATGTTTGCATTCTTACTCGATTTATATCAATTATGTTGTTATTAGGTCAATTGTTATTTGGATTCAATACACAATTGTTGTTATTGAGTCCACATCGGTTGTCTAATTTCTTTCAGTTGGTTGCGACAAATCTTAAATTCACATATTAATTCAAATGTATGATTAACATCACATCATTTTTGAGCTGGTTTTGATATATAGCCTTATTTCTCAGGTAAAATCAAGTATAAATGCTGCTGACTTTGTATCGATTTCTAAGGTCAAATCAATCTTTGAAAACTCTAATATTCCCATTATTATGGAATCTAGTGGGCATGCCTAGAAACTTCCACATCTTCTAAACAACTGTAGTTGTAATGCCACAATTTGGTTTTTTGTTTAAAGATTTTGGTCCACTAAGAATCTAACATGTGAAATGTATTTGTGAACTACTGAAATTTCCCACCAAAATTACCATTAGATTTAAGTTCAATATGAAGAAGAGAAAGGGAAAAACAAGGAAAAAGTAAAATTAATGAAATACTTTAATCAAGCTTAGCATTGCTTCCGTTAAAAAAAAAGGATCTAAGCTATGTCTTTGGGTTATTGAATTTCTAAGCTATACCCATATTTTTTCGAAATTATAAGTTGTGCCCTCCACAATATTTTATCAACAATACCCTATGACAGCCATATCCGTTAACGAAAGTTAAGTTATTTCATTGACAATGGTGTCGTGGCGTTATTAATTTGACACGTGTCCCATTCTAATTGGTTTAACACTTATAAAAAATTAATAAAACCAGAAAATAAAATAATAAAAAAGGTTATTGTTAACGGTAAAGGTTATTGTTAATAAAAATTAGTGAGGTTAAGGACACAATTTAGACGTTGATACAACTTAGAAAACGAAGAAGTTTGGGGCATAACACATAACTTAGAAAAACACACACAAAAAAAAGGGGGCTTTGGATTGCTTACATTCTTAAGTTAGACTCCTTTTCTCATAATTTTTTTTTTTTTTATAAACTGAAATTATTTTGGGGGTGTTAAATACCGCCCTCCAAATTTATCAAAATCGCCATCATTTGAAGTAAAATGCCAATCCCGCCCTTACTAAATCCTAACCCACTTTCCTCCTTTTTTTTTCCTCTCTCCACAAACACCCACCACACATCTTTTTCCACACAACCACCACAACAACCTTTTTTTGGTTTATCGGGAAGCTCTTGGCAGCGCAAACTCAGGCAGCAGAGGCGGCAGCGCGACATTGCGACAACCACAGGCAGCGACGACGGCATGTCCTAGGCAGCAGCGGCGACATAATGGGTGGGAAAAAGGTATGTTTTGCAATTTTTCATTTTTTTTTTAATTTTCAGTGGCTGGTAATCGGAGGTGAAAACCGGTTGCCAGCTAACGGTAATCGGCGACCAAATCTGGTTGATCGCAGCCAGTAACTGGTTTTTACCACTGATTACCAGCCACCATTTTTTAAAAAAAACAAAATTTTATTTTAATGTATGGTAACCAGAGGCCAAAACCGGTTACCGTACAAATAATTTTTTTACTCTGGTTAACCGTCATTGTTCAATATTTCGAATTTCAACCACCAAAAGTTGGTGTCCCCAGTTCATTTTCCGTCGAGCCACCTTTATCACCATCCATTTCTCCTTGACTTTCGCCTTCGTCATGTCTATCCGGTGTCGAAGGTAGTGGTTGTAATGGTTGTGGATAATGGACTATTGTTAGAGAAAGAAAATAGGAAAAAATGTTAATAAGGGTAAAATTGTCCGTTTGCTTGAAATGATGGCGGTGGCGGAAATTATGGAAGGCGGTATTTAGCATTTCACATTATTTTTACTAAACTCGAACATAATTCCTTAGAATCAAGTCAGTCTAATTATCACCATGAATCAAGAGCGAGTTATATGCCCCCAATGTTAGCTGTCATAGACCACAAGCTTGGGCTCAACATCAAAACAGTGCACGTTCAATTGCTCACCAAAGAGGCAATAACAGAAAGTTATCTTGGAAAAAGGCAATGGTATGGGGTTTGCAGAATTACAGACTACAGAGTACAAATTCAACAAAAATGGCAAAAAAAAAAAAACTGACAAAAAAAAGGAAAAAAAAAAAACCCAAAATTAAAGGTTAGCTCCAAAAATTGAATTGGGTAGGCATGGGCAATGTGAAAAAGACTGAAAACTGTGATTTTCTCTCTCCTCCTCATCCTTAACAACAACATTTTCCCATGATATTTAATGACCGTTGGGGGAGTTGGCACACTGTATTTTCTATTAATGCTTCTTCATTCCTACCCAATTAATCCTTAATTAATCTTTCTTCTAATTTTGAATTTCTCTCCTATTAAATTCAACTACTATTTTATTATACATGTGCCAAAACCCACATTTTTTTAATGCACTTTTGAGCTGGGTTTAGATTTTGGGCACCTAATTTTCTCAACTATAATTGCATGATTTTTGATTAAATTAGTGGGGTTTTTGAGGGTTTTTCAAAAAAATTAATTTTTTTAATGTATAATTTTGCCGTTTTGACTAGGGAAGAAGAAGGAAGAAGATGACAAGAAAAAGGTTTGAACTTTGAAATTTGATTTTGGTTATTGATTATTAAATTAGTTAGAGATTGTTTTTGTTTTAGTGTTTTGGAAGTATAGCTAAGTAGATGAACAAACTTGACGGAAAAACCAAGGGTATTGTTGGCAATATTTGTTGTTTATGTGCTGTTTTTTCAACTCTTTAATTGATTTGTTATTTTTCTTAGTGGTAATAAGATTTGGGGGCAAATTATTTTAGCAAGTATATTTTGATTAGTTATGATTTAGGTGAGAAAATCCACCTATCAAGATTATGTTTAATTAGACATCAAGATTTTGTTTTGAATGATTGGATTTCTAATTTGGGCTACATAGAGTTGAATTTTGGTGTAATAGGATTAGAATAGCAATACTGATTTCAGAATTCGAAGTGGGTATTGATAGAATTTTACTAGTGTTATTTAAGAAGCAAGCATTATTTAGTACAAGTGGGCTAGAAAATTGCAGACTGCCTGTTTTGTATAAATACAAGACTTTGGGGTTATTGTAGTGTTGATTTGAGGTGTGTTGTTGTATTTGGTGTTGATAATTGGTTTATATAGAAGATATGGTTGGAAGTGTTGAAGTCATGAATAATGGTTATAGTAATGGATCAGTTCATAATCATAATGGTAATGAGGAAAAGCTCGATGAGCTTCGAAGGCTATTGGGAAAGGCCGATGGTGATCCTTTAAGAATTGCCGGTGTTGGGGCTGGTGCTTGGGGTAGTGTATTTCTAGCTTTGTTGCAAGATAGTTATGGTCGGTATCGTGATAAGATACAAATTAGGATATGGAGGAGGTGTGGAAGAGCAGTTGATAGACCAACTGCTGAGCATCTCTTTGAAGTGATTAATTCAAGAGAGGATGTATTAAGGAGATTGATTCGGCGTTGTGCATATTTGAAGTATGTTGAAGCGAGGTTGGGTGATCGAACACTTTATGCAGATGAGATATTGAGGGATGGATTCTGCCTAAACATGGTTGATACTCCACTTTGTCCCTTGAAGGTTGTGACCAACTTACAGGAAGCGGTTTGGGATGCAGACATTGTTGTGAATGGATTGCCTTCAACCGAGACTCGGGAAGTGTTTGAAGAGATCAGCAAGTATTGGAAGGAAAGGCTCACAGTTCCTATAATCATATCTTTATCTAAGGGAATTGAGGCTGCATTGCAACCTGTTCCCCACATAATCACTCCCACACGGATGATTCATCGAGCAAGTGAGAAAATCTCTTTCTCCCTCTTTGATTAGTATAATAAATCACTTGTTTCAGCCTGTTTCTTATTAATTTTTCCTTGCTAATTTGATATACTCCGTTTAAGTCAATTGTTAAAAAGTTGTGGCATTTCGAGCGAATACATGTTCTTGTTGAATTCTCCCAACAACACTAGTGAGGATTGAGGAAACAAGTTAGTAAAGGTGTGTCCTTGGGTGTATTAAATTATTTTACCATTTTCATAGTCCTTGCCTAAATATAATTCAGTAATTCACTGCAGATTACTCGGAATAACTAGCACTTAAGGTTGTCAGAACTTGTTCTGCTTAGAGTTTAGAAAATGGAAGGTGAGAAGAAATTGAGTGTTCTATGATCACGAATTCATGATTATCATGTTAAGTGGTGACTTACTTTTAAGAAAGGGAGCTTGTTGGCAGATGCTTCTCTTTGTGCCAACTGTTTGATAATTGTTTCCTGTTATCATCTTGCTTCCCTTGTTTATAAGGCAACTACATGTTTAAGGAAAGAAGGCAGAAACCTAAAGAAGTTGAAAGATGTGCTAATTAGAAAAGTTATGACCCTATTAATCAATGAATGTAGTGTTCTGGCAAAATTGCTAGCTATACTGTAGACCCCAGTAGACTTGTGATCTGTTGAACAATTCGCGTCTCATTTTCATCTAACAAACTCATAGAAATTAGTTTTATGTTTGCACGCCTTGTTCTATTTAATCTTAATCACAATTATTCGTGCATTGCAGCTGGGGTACGGATGGAAAATATCCTTTATCTAGGTGGACCAAACATTGCCTCTGAGATCTACAACAAAGAATACGCTAATGCACGTATATGTGGTGCGGAAAAGTGGAGGAAACATCTAGCAAAGTTTCTAAGGCAACCCCATTTCATCGTGTGGGATAACAGTGACCTTGTCACTCATGAAGTTATGGGTGGTTTGAAGAATGTCTATGCTATTGGAGCTGGTAAGTTTGACAATCTTCTGATTATTGGAGCTAACCCGTAGTTATATGTTCCTGATATTTATAGTTACATTTTAGCGAAAACCTGGGACATCATTGACTAGTATTATAAAAATTAAAAAAAAAAAAAAAAAAAAGTAATTACATTTCAATGAGCTTAGTTACCTTGTTATTTCTGAGCAGTTGTTACAAGGTATCTTACAGTGAAGTTCATATAAAGAAGGTACCTGAATGTTATATTTTCTGACACTAGTGAAGTGTTCATATGTCAACTTTAATAGGATGTATACAAAAACTGTCATCTAAAAATAAAAAATTGATGAATCCAAGTTCAACCTCCATTGCTTACATTTTCAGGAATGGTAGCTGCCCTCACTAATGAAAGTGCTACCAGCAAATCAGTTTATTTTGCTCATTGTACATCAGAGATGATATTCATTACTCATTTGCTGGCTGAGGATCCTGAGAAGCTTGCTGGGCCGTTGCTAGCTGACACGTATGTGACGTTATTGAAAGGACGGAATGCATGGTATGGACAAATGCTGGCAAAGGGTGGTTTGAACCTGGATATGGGTGATAGCATCAGTGGCAAGGGGATGATTCAGGTAATTTATTGCAAACCTTTCGATTTCTTTTTACGGGTAGTGACCTCATGAACTGTTAGGCTGTTAGTTTTCTGAAGGCAACTAAGGAGCAGCAAGGAAGCTGCATATTTTGGTCACCATCATTGATAAATACTATATGGGACCAGAGGCTTTCGGAAATCCGGAATCCCAATTATCCTTAAATACTTCTACAATCATAACAGTCTGGCTATCTTGTAAAGTGGTCCCTTTATTTACCTTCTAGAACTAATGTTCTTTAAAATCTTTAAATTCTGAAATAATTTTTTAGTCTAAAGACCTTAACTTTAAATGTCCATCCAATTAAACCTGTAATCAAAGGAGGACCACGAGCTCGGGGCTCAATAAATGAAAATTTTTTCCCAGAAAAAGTGGTGCTTTAGGTGGAGTTAGGACTTAGGACACCTAATTCAGTAATTCTTCAAGGTAGATCTGCCAAGCTGGACTATTTATGGTCATGTCATCAATGGGATTAACACCTGGTTGAAATTTTGTGTCTTGTATTGTTGGTATTGTGATTATGATTTTATAATCACTCTTATAGTTGATAAAGAAAAATAATGCAAACTCGATAACATTAGTTCTTTTCAATGGATAATTTTGTCTTATCACTTTGTATAATGACTTTGAGCTTGAATTTATCAGGGTGTCTCAGCAGTTGGAGCTTTCTATGAGCTCCTGAGTCAATCCTCTCTGAATGTGTCTCGGCATGGAGATCGCAAGCCAGTCGCTCCTGTTGAGTTGTGCCCGATCCTAAAGACACTATACAAGATACTCATAAAAAGGTGATTTATACTCCTGCCAGATTAACTAGCTAATTTTGCAAGATACATATTACTGATGCTTAGTTTGTTGATTGCCTGCTGTGATAATTTACAGGGAACAATCTTCAGAAGACATTCTCCAAGCACTGAGGGATGAGAACATGAATGATCCCCGGGATCGAATCGAAATTGCTCAATCACATGCTTTCTACATGCCTTCACTCCTGGGGAAGCCCATAGATTCATGATATATCATTTTGAAATTATGCAGTGGATCAAAAGAATGAATAACACTTCCACATCATATATAATGATTTATGAAGTATATTCTTCTCGTCAAAAAAAAAAAAAAAAAAAAAGTATATTCTTATAATAAAGCTATTATACTAAAGGTCAAAAGATGCAGTTTACATACAAGTAGTACCATTCTTATTGTTTATTTTATTGAGAAGATGTAATTGGGAAGATACAATGTTAAATTTGTTTGAATCAAAAGTCAAGGTTATATTGTACATCCAATAATCCAAATGTATAGTGAAATTTGCCTCCAAATAAAACATCAATTCTTTGTAATTTTTCCATCAAAAAAAAAAAAAAAAAAAATCTGTAATTTTTTTCTTATTAAAATTTTGTACAAGTGCCTTATCTTATTATATTCTCTTGAAAAAAAAAAAAAAAAACACTCTTGAGATAGTAATGCATTGCAATGAGCCAATGATGCGTCACTTTGAGGGTGGCATTTGATTGTGTAAGGTGAAAATTCAAGTATACTACCTCCGTTTTATATTTTTTTTGCAACTTTAGAGTATTATTTGTAAGACATAAAATATTTCAAAATTACAAAAATATAAAACGGAAGTAGTAAGTCAAATTTACAAAAATGCGTAAATTAGGGGTACTGAGGTCATCTAATACATTGAAGGTAGGGTATTATTATTATTATTATTATTATTATTATTATTATTATTATTATTATTTATTTCATATACTTTCTTCCCATTTTATTATTTTTTTATATAAAAATGAAAAAAAAGAGGTTGATTTACATATTTTGTAAATCAGCATTAATATGGTCTATCACTTGCAAGGAAATCCCACCTACAAAAGGGCCCTAATAGAATGATAAATGATCTTTGGGTTAGTCAAAACCCAATAGAATGAATCTTATGAGGTCACCCATAAGGATATTCGGTTAACAATTAGTCTAAGGTGCACCCTTGTCAAAATAAGAGCCCTTGTCAAAATAAGAGCCCATGTCAAAAGGTGTACCTAGGCATGGATCTTATTTATAGATCTCATCTCTAAATAAGAGCCCATGTCAAAAGCCCAAAACTTATTTCCAATCTAACTATGCTAGCCCAATCCATTTTATGATTAGTTAATTGCTCATGAGGCCCATTAATGGGCCTCTAACTTGCTTAACCCAATACCCTTGTGTGTGACCTCATAGGATCCATTCTAGCGGGCTTTGGACCATTTGACTAGCCCAAAGATCATCTCTCATAGTTTAGCAACAAATGATGACGCCCCAAGAGAACGAACTTATTATCTCCATAATAGTGATCCTTAATATATCTAGTAATTGCACTTATCGAAGACACAACTCCTTCATTTATTTCATTCTTTCACTAAAAAATTGCAACAATTTCAATGGGCATTAGGAAAGAGATGCAAAATCAAAAGGATCCTCCCCAAAAAGACAATTTTATATAAATTTCACTTAATTTTGTTTGAATTTATATGATTATCAGTTTATCACTTAAATTTTGTTTGAATATTGTTCGAAATTTATTATTGGAATTGTAAAAAAAAATTAGTGAAATCAAACGGATATTTTATGTTCACATTTCGAAATGCATATGTTTATATTTTGAATTCTTATGTTCATATTTTGAATCCGTTTGTAAACTTTCTGAAATGCTTATATTCACTTTCTAAATTCATATGTTCATATTTTTTATGTATGTGTTCACCTTTTGAAATGCTTAATTATGTACATACGCATTCAAAAATGAACCAATGCATATGCTCATATTTTGAATTCATATGTTCATATTTTTAATACTTATGAATTATGATGCATATGTTTCATAATCATATTATTTTTATTTCTTCAATTTTTTATGTTCATAATAAAATGCCTTAAATTCATAATAATATTTTATATGTTCATAATGTAAATATTCATAGTAAATATTTGTTGTTTTCATTAAGTCTATTTATGCATATCTTCTCTCTCTTAAATGCATATGATCATATTTTTTAAGCATATGTTCACCTTTTAATTTGTTATATTCGCTTTAAGGAAACCAATGCTTACGTTCATATTTTGAATTGTTATGTTTACTTTCTGAAATGCATATGTTCATATGTTTTATGCTTATGTTCACTTTCTGAAAAGATAATGTTCACATTTAAGGGAACCTATGCATATGTTCATATTTTGCATGATTATGTTTATTGATAAAAAAATGCAGAAAATCAAATGAAATTCATACACAAATGAAATTGATTGAAGCCAAAAAAAAAAAAAAATTCAATTCATATGAATTCAAAAAATCAAATAAACAACCAATTCCATATTGTAAGTAACATATTCAATCGTTAAATCGAAAAAACGAGAAAAATAGGAAAAATAAAAAAGAGGATAAAGGAATTAAAGAAGGAAGGAGAAAAAATAGAGTATAATTTGTGAATTCAAAGATTCATATATACCTTAATCAATCAAAATTAAAGCACAAAATCGAAATTCAAACAAAAATTCATACTTAATAACTACTTTCATGTTGTAAGAAACAAATTCAATCAAAAAAGTGTAAAAAGGGGGAAAATTAAAAAAACAGAGGAGAGAGAAAATAAAAAATGAAGGAGAAAAATAAAGGAGAAGAAACCTAATGTTCACTTTATGAAAAACTAATGTTCATATTGTGCTGTTGTTACACCTATTTCTAGGTGCATGAGTGTGCACCTAAGAATATGTGTTCGGCTAAACAAGTGTGAGACTAGGAATTTGGGCTTAACATGGACCCAAAAGGTATTGGGCTAGAGTAGTTTAATTAGAGTTAGGAATTTGGACTTGACATGAACTCTTATTTCTAGATATGATCTATATATAAAGTCCATACATAGGGTTAAGTTAAGTCTTAATTCACCTATACAGTGAATTGTTTCAGTGGACCAAGTAGAGTAATCACGCTTAGGGTTCTTGTTCTCCTTATTGTTCTAGCTCGATCACACGTTGAATCACGCTTCAAAGGTACAATTACATGTTCTTTATGTGTTATACTTGTAGATCCTAATTAGGTGCTTATAAATATGATTCATGCAATTCCACTTATAATACCTAAAGTATATAGTTGCTAACATCGTATTTCAGCTTGCTTTTTTTTTTTTTTTTTAAAAAAAATCATCTTCTCTAATCTTCCACTGGCACCACCACCATAGCCACCATCTAGTCCATCACCATCAAAGGCACCACCATCTAAAAACCATCACAGGCACCACCATCTCTCCTCCTTACACCAATCAAACTCACAAAAGCTTTCCTCACCCTCCTCTTTTTCTCGTCGTCGTCCTCCTCTTCGTCCTCAACAATGCCATTTCGCGGCGAAACAAAAATACATTCTATATGAAAAAAGTGTAAATTAAGGCCATATCAACTCCTTAGGAAAAGCATTTCATTCGCGACAAACATTTTGAACCACTATAGGCAGTGGTGGCGTGGAGGAAGAAGTGGGTTCCTGCGTACCGGTTTACGGCGTTGAGGATGGTAACGACATTGACTATCCAGCATTATCCCAACGTTTGCCAAGTTATGTATGCGTTGACAAGAGTACCCTTACTATTATGACTGACAAGACAAAATTGACACCTGATTTGCGGTGTAAATCGGCGTGAGCAACACGTTCTACCTCAAATGTAAGTGTAATCGTACAAAAGATTAGTTCCACCCCAAGGCGTATGATTCATTATACGGCCGAGTGTATAATATAAAATATTAAAATCTGCACCAAAAAAAAAAAAAAAAAAAAAAAAAAACATATCCTCGACGGGCACCCGACCATTTTGCATTTCCGTCCTTGCGCACCACCACTGTTGACAGTTTGACACCGCTGGCGGCCATCGCAAACACACACACAAAAAAAAAAAAAAAAAACACCTAAATTTTCAATAATAGTACAGATAATTAATCGTTAGATTGAGAAGAAAAATCGAACATTTAGGGTTTTTGAGATATACCAAAAATGGCGAATAGTGCGATTCCAAACGAGGGTCTCAAAGATCTTCTCAAACCCTTCCACCAGAGAGCTTCTGAAGCCGAGGTTTGCTTTCTACTATAATTTTCCCCATTTTTTGCTCCATTTTACTTCTTCATATTCGAATAATTTACCAGTTTAGTGATTTTATGAGTGTATTAGTCTGATTATTGCTATTTTTTGTTTATTGTCTTCATAATTGCTTTTTTTTGAAATGGGTTTTTTTGCTTGTAATATATGGTATCTTATATATGTGAAATTCAATTATTGGGAAAATTCATGAATGATCTTTATGCTTTGCAATCGTCAATTGTTGTACTCTTGAGTTTGTTTTTGTAGTGGGTATGCTGTGAATCAATGCACAATAAAGTAACTTCCTTTTTACTTTGGAAGTTTACAGCAGTTTCTATTTCCTCTGATCAAATGAGATGAATTTCTAATGTTATGTTTATTTGCTTTCAAAGGAACGCCTATCGAAACTCGAGCTTGATACCGTGGTTTCGAGTAAGAAGGGTATGGCACAAAGGCTTAACCTTGGTACTTCGCCAAAATTGTGCTTTGGTGTAATATTTCATTTAGTTTCTTAGCAGCATTTTCTTAATGAACAGAATTTCATGAGGTTGGCATTGAGGAAAGTTCGAAGAAGGCGAAAGAGTTGGAGTTGAAGCTGGAAGAAGTGACTGCAGAGTTAGCCGCAGAGAAAGAAAAGGTCCCTTATGCTTAAAAATTGTGTTCGTCTTTTCTTCTATGATTATCCTTAACTTAAAGAGATACGAAAGAAACTTTAAGATAATGTTATTGGTTTTGTGTAGGTTGCTAAGCTCACCGTTGAGAATGCTAAAAAGGACTACCGCATGATCCACCTTGTCCGATCACTGAAAGAGGCTGATCTCAAGTTGGAGCAATTGACTACCAAATAGGTGGGTTGGCTTCTTCAAATTAATTAAAGACTTACAAGTATACTAGATCATAATATTAATGTGAATCTAAAAGGCATAGTCATGCAGAATTGAAATCATTGGAGAGTTCACATGACACGTTTTGTATGTTGTTTATTTGAAAGTATATCTATAATTGGAGTGCCTCTGTTTCCATGAGATATGTATCCAGGAAACTGCTTGTATAATCTCTAAAAGGAACCTTATTAATTTTTTTACTAATTTGTTGCCCAAATTGGATCTTTCATAGGACACCATTGTGGCAATATATCCTTTCTATTTTTATCTGAAAGTGTCCTCAGCTGAAGCCTCTTCAAAATTTATTGATAAAAAAGTGTCTCATTGACATTTATTGAAGAATTGCTTAGAGTTTCTAATTGTGTGGTACTACACTTTACTACTTTGTTTCCTTCTAAGCTCTTACTAGGATAGTTGGATGAGTCTTCTTTTGACTGTCTAATGTTTTTTACTTTCCATAGTCTGAATTGCTTACTGGAGCATGTAAGATATACCCCCTCAGTCCTGTCTGGTATTAGCAGTTTCTGAAATATGACAACTTTTTGCCTGACATTATATATTAGTTTACATGATTCACTTTCGGATGGAGGGAATAACTTTTATATATTTTCCATGCATTACATATTTACAACCACATTTAGAACTAGCTATTCTACAAGTCTCCATGGTATACATTTTGGCCATCCTAGATACACCGACTATTTGCATCTGCTGGTGATCGGTGTTATCAACTTATTATACTCCCTCTGTTTCTTATTTCTTGCAACAAAGGAAGGGTGCACGGTTCCCAAGTCAAAAGTTTTTAAGCATAATTATTATAAAGTAAGGGCATATAAATAATGTAATTAATGAGAGAGGGTGAATAATTAATTAAACAACTAAAAGTCCAGCACCACCACCGATGAACGGGGACGCCACCTAGAACCATCAGCAACGAAAAGCTACCACCTAGAACCACCAACAAAACCACCCAAAAACCACCCGAAACCACCCAGACTCACCCGAAACCACCAAGAACCACCTGAAATCGCCCAACGAAACCACTTCAACCCGAAACCACCCACAACCACCACCCAAACCCACAACACCAGAACCCCTCTTCCACCCCTGCGAAACCACCGACACCACCAGATCTAGACCCACCGACACCACCAACACTACCGAAAATGACCAGTTGCAAGACCCACGAAACCACCAAAACTACTCTTCCACCCTTGCGAAACCACCGACACCACCAACAATACCAAAGCTAGACCCACGGACACCACCAACACCACCGAAAACGACTAGTTCAAGACCCACGCCACCAACCCCACGACCCTCCTCCACCCCTGCCAAACCACAAACCACAAAAACCACCTTTACCACCGAATAAGCCACCAATTAACCAGATTTGAAACCACAAAAACCTGCCGACAACCCACCAGAACCACCCACGACACCAACAAAAGCATTGACGAACCACCAAACTCACCAATAACCAAATTTGAAACCCACTAAAAGGGTAGTTTGGAATTTGATTATGAGAGATGAAGATGATGAAATGATAGATGAAGGAGGAGAGAGAAAGATAATGGGTTTGATTAATTGGGTGTGATTTCATAGATAATCAATTTACTATAGATTAAGGTTATAATGGGTTGTAATTTATGTGTACTATTATGTGTTAAAATATTTTAAGTAAGGGTATATTTGTCATTTTGACAGAAAAAAGTTTCCAAATAAGGAAAAAAAACATTTGTTGCAAGAAATATGAACCACCCCAAAATGGTAAATGTTGCAAGAAATAAGAAACGGAGGGAGTAGTTAGATCTAGGAGCTTCACAGAGTAAAATAGTGGCCTTGTTGATCATTACATTATTATTTAGATGTAGTTTAGCACTGATGCTGCTGGTTTTGAACTTGCATATGACTAGTTGTTGATCTATAATAGTGGAGTTGCTTTGTTGAATCTGTATGCCAACTATGATTTTCCACATGGTGACTGAGATAGCGCAAAAGAAGTTCCATGTGTTTGCTGATATGTTATTGTCTTGCTTTTTTAACTCATAACTGAGGTCTTCCTTGCTATTTTTGCTTAATTGTTTCTGTTGGCTATATTGACTATACTGTGGAACAATAGGCTTACTAGGTGTGCTTGGTTTGTTGGATATACGTAGTATATGCTTTTCCTTATTACTATACCTTTGACCTCACCTATACTGAATATGATATTTGTGTATTCTGCAAAAGTTACATAAATAACATGATTACTGCTCTCATATGTCCGTGTGATATTGTTGGAAACATGGCACAAATTTTGAAGATAGACAGAAATAATGGAAAATTTATCATCAATAATTGTTCATAAAACAATAGTGTGTTGCAAAGGAAAGATTATACCTAGTACTGATTACTGAAGACAAAGTTTCATTGAATTAAATTCCTTTAAGTTATGTTGAGATTTGCAAATGTGCGTCTGTTCATTTCATAGACCAAATTATGTGCATGAAAGAAAGCTTCCTTGATGCTATGCTGGTTGCCTCTTTTGCAGGTTAGACACATTACAATCTCAAGTTACTTTGGTGCAACAAGCTTTCGAAGCGCATTCCATCTTTAGAACTGGATTGACTTCAGCGTGATTTTTCTAGGAGTCTTTAGAAAAAAGGGTAGGTAATTAAACTTGAAGTTAGGCTGCAGTTTGAAAAACTTTGAATTGATGAAATTGTGGATATAGGTGGGTTATTAATCTTCAAACTTAACAAAAAATGTGCAAATTTTCTTATGGTGTTGATGACTATGTATGCTAGCAATGCTGTTGTCCTCTGACTCCTCTCTCTTGGGGGTTTCATTGTAGCATTAAGGTTTTATTTAATGGTGTGATTAGACAACTCATTTTGAGACTGCTGGTAAGTATGCTAAGCAGCTAATATCTGGTGCACTTTTTTTCCCCCTTTTTTTTTTAGTAATTTTAAAATAAACCTTGCGGCTTTACCTTTCTAATGCGGAACAATGATTTTTACTACAAAGCATGCGTGCTAAAATCTGTTAAATTTTCTTGTTACGATTTTGATAGCAATTTGATCGTGAAAAACTTATTCGAAGCTTGAAAATTATTATGTTGAATATGCATTGGGGCCAAAAGAAAATCAGACCCAATACTCATGCCTATACGTGTATAGGCCATACCCATTTTGATATTTTGGAAAGTGCAAGACATTCTCCTTAAGTTTGAGCATAATTTGCTTGAAAATTTACCAATTCATGTGAATTTGTTTGAATTGACTGGAAATTCTAGTGTGCGGCGCTAGTTCAATCAATTGTATGGATACTACTTTATAGTTAAGTAAAAGGTGAGGAGGCGCAGGAAGGGTTTGGAAATAGAGCACCTACAGTAACATTGAAAAAGGGTGTTGTAATTGTCCATCCTTTTTAGCAGTTTTGGCGGGATAGACAGTGGTAGCAACCACTCGCTGCCCTATTGTATGTGAGAGCAAGTTAGCTGGATGGAGCAAGAATATTAAACAAACAATAGCAACGCAAGCAGTGGTAGAATGGTAGGTGGTTTCGATAGTGGCTTGGGCAAATGTGGTAGGTGGTTTTGATAATTGCTTGTGCAAAGATACTTGTGCAGTGGCTACGCTCATTGTTCGTCTAGAAAAGTAGTTATTGTGCGAGCTCTCGGGTTAGGCTTTGGGTCAAAAATAAACCTCAAAAGGACAGTAATCTTTCTTCTAGTATATTCTCGGATACAGAGTACACATTTATCACCCCCCAGAATATGCGAATTTTTGCTGCAAAAACACGGGTACTCAGTTATCTTAGTCAACTCAGTTAGAAGGTCAAGGATTAACCGATTAATTACACATTGTCTGGTTTGAATCTAGAACATTCTTGTTTGATCACGATGCAACTGCGGATGAAAAATGAAACAACCATGTAAAACAAAAAACTATAGAATGATCATTCTTCAATTTGCTGCACATAATTCCAGTTTCACTTATATGCTCTGTACATGAATCATCAGTGCCATTGTAGAACGAGGCGAACATTAAAATGAAACAAAAGAAATGACAGCATCAGAAGACCCTACATATTTTTACCCTAGCAACAATCTGCAATGTAAACTCTGTATTATGTATATTGTCATCAATGTATACCTACAGCCAACTTCTTACCGGGACTTGAAAAATAATCCCACAGCAAAGCCCTGACAAAATGAGCAAAACACTGCAGAGACAAAAAGCAGGTTAGAAGAAAAAAAAATGGATTGTTTTCCTGTACATTTCTTGCTTGTAGTTTTATGTGTTGCTTAGTACTTTGGTCAGTTCCTCAATCATGTTCTCTTTCTTGAGTTTAGAGAAACCGCGGACCTTGAAAAACTTCAAAATTCTTTTTAGTTCTGGTACTCTCATCTTGTTCAAGAAATCAGAATCTTGAGAAAGCTTTAATGTCAAGCTTTCTTTATCATAGGAGGCCAACTCTTTTGTTTCTACATCCTCTGCAATAGCACTCTTACTTTCAACAGTATGCACATGTTCTGGACTAGAATCAAGCAGTAGAGGTATCCCTTCTGCAGCTAGAGGTGATTCCAGGCCAAACACTAATTGCTTCTGCATCTTTGCAGCCAAATCACTCCTTGCACAAAGATCAGCCCCCTTTGAAACTATCACTTCATGGGACTGAATACTAGCATTTTTGCTGCTAACTTCCTGAGGTTCTAAGAGCCTAGGGAGATTTGTGTGAGCTATGTCTCCTGGTTTTCTCTGCTGAATCACTTCAGGAAGAGAGCTAGATCCCTCATTAACCAGAAGGGCAGGTGAATTAGATTGTCCAAAGTCAGCTGCTTTTGAAGGGTTTTCCCTCTTTCCACTCCTTTGTGGCATTAGCATCAGGCTCAGGTTAGATTGTCTGACAGCTTTGACATATTTCCTCTTTACTTTCTGCCCTGATGGTTTTAGAATTGAACTTAAACTGGATTTATTTCGTTGGGATTTATTTTTTTTACCCAATTGATGATGACCTTCATCAGGATCTTCGCTTTTAAGATCTTGCGTATTGCAAAGGAAATCAGCAGCAACAAGTTGAATGCTCATATCTGTATCATCATCTTTTTCAACTTTTACAATCACTTCTGTCTTTGAAGATACAGGAGAAGAGCTACTTCCACTGTTCTTTGATCCAGTCACATATTCCTCAATTTCTCCATGATGCAAAGCTCTTGATTTTGAGTTCACACTATCATTGTAAGCCTATTGAAAGAATGCAAACATCCAGCTAATCAATTAGAAACTACCTTGTAAAAAAGAAATCAGACTATATCACTAGAATAGCAGGTCATCTGAGCATGTTTCCGACACTTAAACATTCTGAGTCCACAAACTAATAATGCTTATTGATACAGGAAAATTAAGCCCTAAGTTTGGATGGAAGGATAAATGCTAGAGCACAATATTAGGTGTTTGCTATAGGAGAAAACCTTAAGCTGGTTGATGTAGGAAGATTAAGCCCTGAAGTCCACATAGCTTTCTTAAGTTCTGGTCTAATGAGGTCATTTAGTACAGAACATCAAATACTAGATTAGTAAGTGTTTGCTAAAGGAGAAATCCAAAGCAGCATTCCTTCTGTCTCATTTCTCACAAGTATTTATGTTTGGGTTAAGGTTGACAATTCATGCCTAACATCTTGATTTATAGAAGGAAAGTAAATAATCAATGCAGGACTCTCAACTCCCAAATGTGGCAAACAGAAAGTTCAAAAGATGGAGTCACAGCTGAAAAACCTGAGGTTATCATTGCCAAAATTAAAGGACCTAAGACCTAAAAACTGGAGATATGATGCATTTAAAGTGAAGGACAAGTTTACCTGCACACAAGCTATGAATACATTTTCCCCTGCAGGTGTGCACTCGTAAACATCATCTTTCTTTTGCCCAATCACTTCAACATTAGTCTTATTGATATCTCTAGCCTCAATGGAGTCCCTTGTTACATATCGGGTAGCATCTGAACAAGATTCTTCAGAAACAGTGGCTGCAGGCTGTTCATCCAAAGAAAACAATAAATCACTCAGACAGAAGCATGGCCAGCTGATCAAAATATTTTGGTCCATGCTAATCATGCAGTAGAAAGTAGCAATCATTTCAACATACAGTCTAGAACCAGGATCACATTAGATAAGAGTTGAAAGTCTGATAAGGTGATAGACTTTAAATAGAGAAAGTTAAAGCACCTTGCATAGCCTTTCAAATTCTATCGACAGTTCCTTGGACTCTGCACATGACTCAAAAGCTGTTTCTTTTTCCATATCAGTGTCAATTGAGCCAGAATCTATAAGCAAATTCAATTCATTAGACCTGTCTTCCACCTGTCATGGCAAAGAAAAAGCTGGTTGGTGTGTCTTCAAGCTGACTGAGGCATAAAGACAAAATAGCTGTAACATGCGGACTTGATTAGAAATAGACCAACTATTTACTTAAAGTGCAGCAAGTGCACGAAAAAGTGTCACGATCTAGCAACCTAATCCAATACCTCTTCTGTTGGAACACCCAAATGAGATGTCAAAGGTATCTATCTCAGCCCTAAAGGCAAAGTATTGTAGCATAGATGGTAGAAATATATGTTATCAAATGATGGAAATTGGACGTTATAGACCAATTACCCAGGAAAAAAATAGCATCTACATAAGTTGTCATCCACACAACTGGACTTAGTTTGCTTCAATCTGTAGTTATTATGTTGGCTTCATACAAAGTTAATTGCATGGATATTTGCTCAATACTTGTCATTGACTTATTTAAAAAAATAACGAGTATTTAACAATGATTATGTATCTTCAACTAGTGGTAGATAATGTCATACACATAAAAATGCAAGAGTTTTGTGGATACTGAAAAACATACTAATACTAACAAGAATATAATTTGAAAAAAGACAACAATCAATCAGACCTGTTCATCGGGAGAGGACAAATTCTGCTCAATTAAAGCACTAATGATGTCATAGATTCTCTCAGTTGGCACTTGGATTTTTGTTGTGCCCTTGTCATGCTCATTAAGTATTTTTTTATCTCTCGCATCCTTAATTGATTTAGACAGCATATCTATCTTTCGCTTGAAAGTAGCACAGCAGACTTCATAGGGATCCCTCTGCCCATCCGATTTAGCCCACTTCAGTTGACATTGGAGGACAGCCAATTCATCTTCAAGATCATCAATTTCAGCATCTGCTTTAGCAATCAAATATCGCAGCGCTTGCACACAAGATTTTTCATTGGCTACATCTTCTTCAATGATATCTGAAGTAATATCAAAAGAGAATCATTACTCTTAAAGGATGACAAAATCAAAAGATAACAAATACACCCTCAGCTTTTATTGAGTTGCAATAGTTTACTTTTGCACTATTTACACACTTCATTTGACTCTCTTTTATGATTAGTACTTGAGGAAAAATTATAGTCATGTGGGGTCTTGTTAGATTTGTTTCAATTTATACTTTCATAATATCAAAATTTTAGAATTTATACATATTGATGTTTAGATTTGGCATATGTGAGAAATTATAATTTGGCAAAATTGAAATGAGAAGCATTGCAACTAAAAAGACAGAGGAACTACATAGTGCATAAAAACTAATCTGTGTACAATGTGTATATGCAGCAGTTACACTACAAAATTTGTTCAGATTCAATATATTCATCACATGTATTATCAAATATAAGCTTGAATTTATGATGAAAGACTTCAACAGCATGCGGTAAGGGAAAGAATTAGATCAAAGGCTCAAAGCTGTTATGACTGCTAGATGGGATGATTCAGAGCCAACACATATGACTATATGAGAAAGAAGAGCTAACAAACAAGACTAGAATACATTATTTACCGTATCCGTTGCCAAAGTGAAAATTATAATGCCACCCATGTCCTGCAGGATAATGTATCATAGGTATCAGATGCAATTAGTTCACCAGAGCCACAACAGTACCAGAATAAAGAGATTCAAACTCTCACCGCCAGATAAAATTCTTGGATCGAAATCCATGAAGTCAAGTAACATATGTCACACCATGCAGACAACATTAGCACCATACTTCTGCATCATCTTAACACACTATATCATCAAAGAAATCAAGAAAGAATGTGCTTCCATTAAAAAAAAGTTGATTCATTCTGTACTCAATAAGGGAAAGTGAATCTCAGAGAGACTAAAAGTTAAAATCTTACATGACATTTTAACTCAGAAAGCATCTTGTTTTCCTATGATGGAAAGCTGGAGAACTGCCAAAGTATAACCACTTGGTTTGTCACAAATAAATGCAAATGGAAGACAAATTACAAATTAAAATAAACAGATATTCAATCAATGCATCATATAATCTCAAAATTCTGAATAAACATCAATCCTCATTCCTTCCGACCATAGATTAAAAAACGAACAAGGGCAAGCGTTCAAAAGATCATCACCGTACATAAGCTCAATTTAACGTAGAGCAGTAAATCCTTCTAAATTTGGTTGTAAAAGTCATACTAGTAAAAAAGAGCATATGCTTCAGAGGGACTCCTGCAGTAGCACTTAATTAAAACATGGTCATGAACGAATTCTAGGGTTCCAAGAGAATTGTTTTTATAAATTTTCAAGTTGCAAGCACTAAATAACACCTAAGGTTTTACTAGTCAAATTTAGCTAACCTTAATCATCACAAATTCTCCTTATTTCTCAAATCAAGGATCACATGGTTCACAAGAAGCACAACTACTCGTTTATTCATCCTTTTTCGCATAAGTTCGGCCTACCCTGAACCAGGTGTCTCCTCTGCACCCTAGCATCCCCTCCATTGCCCCTAATTCCCATTCTAGCCCGATTATTATTCCACATTATCCACCCAAATTCCTCATTTAATCCAATAAACATGACTTCTTTGGTTAATTTCTTAGAAGTAATATAACCACATAACTTAACTATATCGTCATTATTAAAGTTATAATTAATAGAATCAAAATTCAACACGTTTACATCTATTCTAGGGTAATTTAGGTTAAGCTTCTTACAATAAAGATTTACTCTTCCTTACGTAAAGCTCAAAAACTTTTTCTTTAATTCATCCCAATTAATGTATATCAATTTTAAACATTAGAACATCTTCAAACTACAACAGTAAATACAAAATTCTAATCCAAAAAATGCAAAACTATTAGATAATTCATAAAGATTAACAATTTGATCAAAATCTACAAATGCAATTCCAGCAAACATTCAATTTCACTACTTAGAATTTCTGCATAAGTAAAATTAACTGCAAATCCATCACCAAATAACAAAATTAATAAATTAATCAAACTCAAAAAGATCGGAAAATGCAGCACCAAAAATTAAACCCACTGATTTTCAGAAATTCATCAAACTACCAGCATTTTCTTAATTTCACTTCTTATAATAAATTTCTTTACCATAAAAAAAAAAAAAAAGAAAAGAAAAATTCAGCAGTTAGTTCAAAGCGTGAAGCAATCAGCAATGGAAATTCAACAATATTAATAAAAATACAAAATGAATTAAATCGGAAAAAAAAAATGAAAATTGTTAAGTCAAAATTATCAAAAATTGTAAAGAATTGAAGAAGAAAAATAAAAAGATTACCTAGGGTTTCGTGAATTTGGGGAAGAAGAAAGAAAGAGAGTGAGAAAGAGCAAAGTGAGAGTAGAAGCTGCTTGGAACTACGACTAGTGAGTGAATTTGAGAAGAAGGGTTGGCGACGTCAGATTTATAAACTGTTTTTTTTTTATTATTTAAAAAATATGTTTGAGTTTGGGGTCATTTTCTGAACACGTGGAAATAAAGGTGGTATGATGTTGGACCCACTTTATTAAATTCTTCTTCTTTAATTTATCTCCTCCCACAAGTTATGCCTTTGGATTATTTAATGAGGTAGTTCATACTTTATTGAGTCAAGTCCTTGGGAATTTCTTGTAAAATTAATAGATAATGATACAAGTTCATTTCCTCCGTAACAATTATAATTCGGCAGGTCGGATGCAGATGATAGTATATTTACTACCACCCATGGTTTAATACTACTAACACCCATGGTTTAATACAAATGGCTTGTTTGAGAAATGAAATTCACCAAAATTGATAAGTTAAATATTAGGAGTAATACTCTATATTAGTTATTCGATTGACACACAAAAATAAAATTACAGGAAGAAATTTCAACTTCCCACAAAACATGGATTATAGTCATTTCGTTAATTAAAATCCATGAAAATTTAAAAAATTTATATTACCATCCAAACAAACAAATGAAATTCCTAAGCTTATAACCTCTCATGGAATGCAACTTCTAAGGAATTTATTTCCTATGTTAATCAAACAAGGCCAAAGTATGAAATATTGTACCTGAATCGACAAAACATGACCCTATTATCTAAAATGAGCATAAACATAACTAATTTAAAATTGTACTCCCACCATTTCTAAAAGAATGTTAAGTTTGCCATCTTAGATGCTCTCCTTTAATAGTTATTTGGTTATATTCAAATAATTTCTTATATTTAAATAAATAATTATTAATCTACATATTTCACTCAAAGATACATACTTTGTATTTTTCATTGCATCTATCCACACTATCAAGATATTTGCATACTCCCAATGTAACTATTCTTATTTACAAAAATATTTACATATTCCCAATGCTCCTATTTTTCAAAGTTAATTTAATACCTTAATAATAGTTACTCCCTTCATCCTCTATTGATAGTCACTTTTGTCATTTTTGGTGACTCAAAATGTTAGTCACATTTGCTTTTTTCTAGTACCATTAATATTATTTTTTTACCAAAATTCTCTAACATTTGCAAAAATATTTGTGCAAATTTAACTTTCCCATGTAAATTTTACTTTCCCATGTACTTTAATTACTTTTTCTCTCTACTTTTTTGCATACCCAATGTAATTTTACTTTTTCAACGTACTTTCTTTAATTCTCCTTAATTCCCGTAATTTTTCTTCAAAAGTAACTATCAATCGGGGACGGAAGGAGTAATATATATACTCCATATTTGATATATGTGACATTTAATCATTACTTTTGTAGTGCGTTTCTGGTGTGGCCAGCCGCACGGCGTGGCAAGGTGCCACATTAGTAACCCCTAATGTAACCCCTTGAAGTAACCCCTGAAGTAGCCCTTAAATTAACCGTTGTTTAGTAACCCATGAAGTAACCCCACTAGTAACCCCTGAAGTAACCCCTGTCTAGTAATCCCCGAAGTAACCTCGAAAAAACCCCCGAAGTAACCCCCGAAGTAACCTCTGTCTAGTAACCCCTAAAGTAACCCCCGAAGTAACCTCTACAGTATCCCCTGAAGTAACCCCTCTAGTATCCCTTGAAGTAACCCCTGTCTAATAACCTCTCTAGTAACCCCTAAAGTAACCCCTATCCGACCTAGTAACCCCTGGTCAAATCTATTAATCCCTAACCGGATATGATAACCCCTGACCTAACCATCAATTCCACCGATAAAGCCGCCACAAAACCACCAATTCCAACCACCACAACAATCGACCACCACCCATTCCAACCAAAAAGGATCAAAACAAACTATAAATCAATTTGGTGTATGAAGCATATGATGTCTACTAATGTAGAAATTACAGATCTAGGATTTGATGATTGCCTACTTTTTGTGCCTCTGAACAAATGGCGAGTTCTTTGCTTACTCCTCCGCAAAAACAACAAATTAAAATCAATGAGATAATGATAAAATAAAAATCCTCTACAAAAACATCAAACTAAAATCAATGAGAGATCATGATAAAATCAAAACCGATCATCAATGCAATCAAATTGGCTAATTAGGGAAGACTGAGATGATGATAGGAGAGAGAAAATAATAATTTGGTGATGATGGTGCCAATGACAGCGAAACCGACTAGAAAAGGCCAGTTACGATTCCATTTTTCTTGAAAAATTTCACTGAAAATGATGATTAGGGAAGATGAAGAAGAAGAGTGGAGGTGTTTTGCTGCCATTGCTGTAAGATAGGAGAGAGAAAGTGAGCAAAAGGAAGGGGAAATACAGTAGAAGTGGAAAAAAAAAAAAATGCAAAAAATGTGGCAGCCACATAATATGAAAGTTTGTGTTACTTTAGACTATCTTATTTTCCTTATAATTAACCTTGTAAAATCACCAAATATCACATTCTTTGAAATAGAGAAAGTATCTAAGAAAATACGAAGTAGTAATCTAAAAATAAGTTTTGGAAAATTTGAGGTTTTTTTTGGGAGCTTTGAGTTTCATAAGTTTAGGTGTCTAATTTGTGTCAAGAACATTACTTAGTTACTTGAACTTGTCTAATTTGTGTCAAGAACATTGCTCAGTTCTCTACTTTTAAGTTTTAACTTGTTGGCTAAGGCTCTTTATAATTCTCTTATATTGTGTTAACTTCATAGTTGTCGTACTTTGTTCATACATTTTAAATGGGCCGGGCTAGGCTTACTGGCCCATGGACAAGCTCGTCCTATTTAGGATTAGGCTTGATACGGCCCGACCCATTCCATATAAAGCCCTGTTTGGCCCGACCTAGCCCGTTGAACAGGTCTAGTTGTCAAGTAGGATAAAAACTTTTAGTTGAATAAAAACTGTATCTTTTCTAAAAAAAATCAATAGCGACATAATACTAAAACAGACACTAGAAATGACACGTGTCATTTCTTGGTGCTTTTACTTTACCTCTAACACTCATCTTTTTAGTATTTCAGTTCATTCCTTATATAAAAATATTCACTATATTTTGATTGAAATATTTCATCCCTTATTCAAAATAATCTTTATATATGTATATTAAGTTTATAATTTTAATATATTCTGATTGTAATATTTTATTTATTTATTGAGCTATTTCAATTCATTCCTTATATTAAATACTAGGTTTGTGCCCCGTGCGATGCCCGAGTTGTTTATGAAGTCGATTTAAATCTCTATACAACGTGGCGCGACACTCAAATTTTATTTTATTGAAAATAAAACTCTAAATTAATAATTTTATCCTAAAATTCTATCCAAATTTGATTTATAATAGAATTCTAAACTAACTTTTTTATCTCAGTGTATTTAAATCTATCCAACGTGGCGCGACACTTGACGAAAAGTTTAGTTATATGATATGATTCTATTTTGATTGAAATATTCGTCCCTTACTCAAAACCATCTTTTTATATGTATATTAAGTTTATATATGATACATATTAATTTCACAATAGGATGAAATATTAGAATAATGATTCTATATCGTATTATCGTATAGTCATTATAATATTTTTACTATATACGTAGTATATCAAATTACCATGCATTATACTAATTATTACTCATTGTGATATTCATTAATATAGAATATCAATGCATAAGATCTAGCGATTTAGCCTACAAAGCTACAATGATTCTATACCGTATTGTCATTGTAATATTTTGACTATGCCATATTACCATGCAATGGATTGTATTATTTATTAGTCATTGTAATATTCTTTGTTATAAAATATCACTGCATAGATCTAGACTAAACCAGCCAGAAACTTCTTTAAGGGCCTGTTCACATTTATTGAATTTCAGTTCATTTCAGCTCCAATCAGTTTAGTTCAGTTCAGTTCAGTTCAGCTCAGCTCCAATCAGTTCAGTTCAGTTCAACTCTTAATTTCCCTTTCTCATAAAATATTTATTTCAGCTTAATTCAATTCAGTTCAATTCAGTTCAGTTCAGCTCTAATCAGTTCAGTTCAATTCAGCTCCAATCAGTTCAGTTCAGTAAATGTGAACAGACCCTTAATTAAATCAAATCAACATTCTTTATATTAAGCAAATTATATATCATGCACAAGATTTATCTAAATAGGCTACTAGAATGTTCTTTAATATTATGTATATACGTTAAGAAAATCAAATCAATAATCTTTACATTAAGGTAATCTAATATCACGCACAAGGATTACCTAAGCAAGCTACTATATATTCTTTACATTGAGTAATTCAAATCAACAATCTTTATTACGTAGTAATAAAATAAATAAATAAAATAAAATAAAATAAAAAAAACAAAGCCATTTTTAATGTTCATATATATGCTATTATACCTTTGTAATTTCTACTCATCTTCAATTCATAATTATATTCTTATGATAAAATTCTCATACTACTAAATAAATGTTGTTTATCTATCTTTATGATATATTAGCAACTGCATGTCAATTCAACAAAAGATGGCAAACCAATTAACATGCATGATCACTTCTTAGTTAGAGGATTTGCAATAATTACTACATTTTTTTTGGACCTTAATATAACATTGCTATCGCATACAATTTTTTAAAAAATATTCTAGGAAAAATATTTTGAAGTATGACTTTATGGAATAGGTATGCAGGTTAAATGGAAAATTATTTAAATGTGCATGCGAGGTGTCAGTTATACTATAGTATAATTCGCAAAAATAAAGAATTGTAAAGGGATTGGTGATCAACTACCTTTATTCACCATTCTACTTTATTTATCTTTTCACTCAATTATTTCACGAGTTTATGTTTACATTTTGTATTATCAATTATCATAAATAAATTAGGTATTCGATATTTTGTTCAATATCTTTTTGTTTGTTATATATAATAGGATTATTAATGTACAATTTGTTTTAGACTTACCATGTATGACACGGGTCCTAAACTAGTTATCTAATAATCAAGTACGAGTAATATAAGAAGTTTATTTATACAAGGAGACTAAATATGGGAAAACAGAAACTATAATGTGAGAATTTTTTAAAATTAAAACATCACAATTTAAGAAAACCATCATAGAAACCAGCAATTACTCTGAACCAACAAGTACATATACAAGAATAAACACACGTCCACCCTTATAACACTTTTTTGCATTTTAAGATCAGGGAACGTCACTTTGGATTTAACTATCAAATTTCCACTCTTTAAACCACAAAGGAATACACATTAATCAAGCTAATTGGACGATGGATGCCCAAAGCCACATAAAAGGTACCTCCAAATTTTTCTGAAGAATCAGAAAAATGGCAAATTAGTCCATTTCATGAACTAATGATGAATGCATCACAATACAAATTTAAACCTGATGTTGTTTCTATATTATAATTTCCAATAGTGACTTTCTAATATGCTTCATAGTTGAATGAACCTGAAAAATACTTTGGAAATCATGATGAAGGCACAGTTTGGGAAAGCTTCCGGGTTTAAATACTTTGGAAAATCCTACATATATGATGCAATATGAAAAATCGAAGCTTAAAATCGAAGCAAAATTCAGCTAAACTGTCTTATAATTCGAGAGACAATCAGCTAAGCTTTATTCACTGATTTGCAGTACCACATCCTAAAAGACTTAGAAAGGGATAACAACAGAATGACAAATGTATGTATCAACACCAGCAACTATATATCACGATGTATGTATCTCTACAAGAGCAACTGATTTTCGCAATGTATGTACCTACAGTAGCAACTAATTTCCACAATGTATGTACCTCCGCAATGTATGTATCCAACCCAAGTAACTAAGCTTCTCAGCAAAGACTTCCATCTGCTGTTTTCAAATTTTCACAATGTATGTATCAACACCGTCATCCATCCTCTTCCCTTCCAGTTACAGCAAGAGGTGACACAAGGCTTTGAACATATTCCACTACACTCACTTTGTCATCAAAATTAGGAACCAAAAGAGTTTCTGGAGGATCGCGACTGAAGTCAGCAAGCATTAGCTCATCCCTAGACTTGAAAACCAAAACCCATTCAGACTTTGTAAATCCAAAAAAATCGCGACAATAATAATCATCCAATCTTTGATGAAACAACTTGGTCCATGATTCCTGCACTCCATATTCTTTCATCATGCACATCTCTACTACATCTCCATCCTCATAAATTCCCCAAGCACACAAGCAATCATTCAAACAGCACAAACTAAAAGCAAAATTTACACCTTCCCCAAAATTGGCATGAGGCAATTCCATCTTTGTAAACCCCTCCTGAGTAGCCAAATCAAAGACAAGAATACACTTATCCTGTCCTATTGCAATACCCCAATGCAAAGTTTCTTTCAGCAGTACTCCAATTCTATTAACCCAGTAATCTTGCAATACCAGCCTATTTTCCTGATCTTTTCGCGGTGTTTCTTTAGTTTTCCATTCTCGGGTTTTAAGCGAGTATACAAAGGCAACTGACTCGGGACGAGTTAAGCACTGAGGAAACTTAATGGCAACAATGTAGTAATCCTTATGAGATGAAACATAACCAAACCCAAAACTAAGGTTTTCATATGTCAATTGTTCATTAGGAACATGAAGTCCTTGAGGATGTTGAATCTCAATAAAAGCATGATGACCAAGAACAGGATTATAAACCACAAAACGAAAATCAGAATTAAAACAATAATCAGGAACCAACAAAGCTAAACCCTTACAAGAATCAACCAAAGAATTGAAAGGTGAATTATTAGGTTTGCTGAAATCAAGATTATCGGAAGCAATTATACGAGTATTACGGCCAAATCTGCTGAAAACAAGATTGAAATCTTCATAATCAAGATTGAAATCTCCATAATCAAGAGCCTCAAAGTTGCTAGAATAGTCAAGGGTAAGAACAGACCTCGAGGAGAGAGAAGATAAGTGGGTAAAATGGGTTTTGGCGAATTGGGGATCTGAGATGACCGACCTCCATTTTGTAGAGACGGATTTGAATCGGAAAAGAGATTTGACGGGAAGTCTTGGGAGGATTTCACAGAGTATGATGTCCTCCAGAATGTCTGAAAACTGGGTTTTCGCGGCGGGTTTCTGCGGCGGAGAAAACATGGAGGTGGGATTTTGCGGCGGCGATTGCGGCGGTGAAGACATGGAGTTGGGGTTTCCGGCGGCGATTATGGCGGAGAGAGGAAATGGTGGTGGTTTTGGCGGCAACACTTTTGTTTGAAATCACCGAAGAAGTGACTCAAGTGTACAAAGCTCTAATTACTTGGATTATCCCTCACTCTCTACAACGTTTGTAACAGGCATATAAACTACACATCATAAATTCATAACAAATTCAAAATTAATCCTTCTACTTGGGTACTTAAATCGGCCCAAATAAATTCATTCAACATGTTAAGTACATTAGATCCTAACTAAGGCCCTGTTTAGCTCACCTGATTTTAGCTGATCTGATCTGGTATGGTCTGATCTGATTTTATCTGATATGATCTGATTTTATCTTATCTGATCTGATTTGAACTTATATTTTCTTATATCTGATCTGAACTTATTTTTTCTGATCTGAACTGAACTTATTTTTTCTGATCTGATCTGATCTGAACTTATTTTTTCTGATATGAACTTATTTTAATTATTTCAACAATCTACTTTTATTTTAATCAATATTAATATTTTTTTTAAAACATATTAATGTTTTATTATTATTATTATTATTTATTATCATTATCATTATTATTGTTAAGAAAATTATTATTATTATTATAAAATATTTTAGATCCCTTACAAATATTTTAAAAGAAACATAAAAGTATTAATATTATCAGATAGTACAAGGTAATATACTTGTAATATTTGATAATTTTATTATTTACAATATCCCACATCATAAATGAACTTGTTTATAAGAAAGCATTAAAATGGAATCCTAAAAAACCTAAATTACATATTAAATTTGTCATGCTTTTTGTTATATAGAAAAAAAAGATTTGACTTGTTTTTGTTATAGGGAATTTTACAAATTTTTTGGTAATGTAAAATGGTTGACTAAATTAAATTGAAAATTATCATTTCATATTTCAATATTCCGAACAATTATGGGTAACACCTCTATTTTCCTATATAAAACATCTTAGTGTCATAATTTTCACACTCTAAATCAATCTCCTAAAATATTTTTCTATTCATTTGTTCAATAGGTTGTTTGTCTTTTATCTTCATCATAGGTATATACTTCAACACTCTATGTCATTAATTTTATCATTTGTCCATTGTTTTTTTTTGATAATGTAGGAAAATATACATTTATTTGATTTCATGAATTTTACATTTGACCTAATGCAAGTAATATCGATGAAAATGTAAATTACAATTAATATTTTATCTTCAGTTAATTTATTTCAAAAGAAACCTTTTGATTATAATCCTGGTGCCAATTCAACATTAATGTCTATAATTTATGCATGAAATATTGATTTCAAAGTGCTCTTTATCATAGTGTAATAATGGCTGGTAGGGTAGCATGGTTTGAAGAATGTACGGAGATATTGCTGGACATATGCTTGGAGATGAAAGAATTTGGATAGTTAAAGCTTAATTGGGATAGAATAGTGATTACTTTGATCGTAAAATGTGGAAAGCAATTCAATATCAAACAAGTAACAAATCAGTGGAATGATTTGAGATGTTTTGGACAATTCAAATCTCAAGGGAAAATACTCACAATAATGTCAAATATGGACACTAAACATCAATTGGCGATTATGGTTGTTGCATTCACACTTCACAATTTTATTTGATTACATGAGTTGGATATACCCATTGATAGTGATATAGAAATCGAACCAAGAGCAGATTATGATTTGTTTAACAAGAATCGTAAGGCTGTAATGAACGAAGTACAACTTAATATAGCGAAGGAAATTTGAAACTTCTTATGATGGAAATTATATTTGTAAACGTTTATGATTTGGAGCTTATAATGAAAATTTAATTATTATCGTTTATTGTTTGAACAATAATAATAATAATAATAATAATAATAATAGTAGTAATAATAATAATAGTAATAGTAGTAATAATAATAATAATAATAATAATAATAATAATAATGAGAGTGAGGGGTAGCTCAAGTGGTTAGAGCTTTCCTCCCGGTTCCAAGAGATCTTGGGATCGATTCTCACCCCTGCCCTTGTGACTCTTTAAACAACAAATAATAATAATTTGAACTTATTTTTTCTGAAATAAGGTGAACTAAAACAAGGCCTAAATGTGCTCCAATGAAACTAAAAGGCATCCTATTTTGATAGCATTAATTTTCTAGCGACTATGAATCATATTAGTACCCGAGTACTACCCGAGTCATCAAATTAGTACTCGAGTACTATGAATCATATTAGTACTCGTGTCATCAAATTAATTTTCATGGCCACTCTAAATCATATTAGTACTCGACTCATTCATATATCACTATGAATCATATCAGTACCCGACCCATTCACATACCACTATAAATCATATTAGTACTCGAGTCATCAAATTTTGAAGCAATAAAAAAGAAAAGAAAAATTAAAAGATTTATTTTCATGGCCACTCTGAATCATATTAATACTCGAGTTTAATTATTTAATTTTTCTTAAAGGAAAAGAGGAAAGCAATTACTCGCACGGAGTATCATCTATCAGTGATGCATGGCAAATGTATTTGAACAGGTAGCTGGTTTACTGCAAACGGTTTGATTTTTTTATTATTTGAAAGGAAAAAGGGATTAAAAGAAGGGAATTGAGAGTATATTTTGGTTAAAAAAATAAATATATATTGAGTCAAATTTTCTAATCAACAAGGAAATTATTGACGTTTCTTAATACTTCGTACAATCTTATTATCTTAATACTACAGTCTACAGAGTAGTGAGAGTAACACTAAAAGAATACATTTTTTTTTTTTTGAGGAAATACACATGAAATATGAATTGTCTTAGCAACTAGCTATTACACATGAAATATGAATTGTCTTATTAACACTAAAAGAATACATTTTTTTTTTTGAGGAAATACACATGAAATATGAATTGTCTTAGCAACTAGCTATTACTCCGAATATAATCATTGATTCTTCAATTCAATTAGCTTGTCATGGAAAATATGATTTCAAATTAACTCTCTTTGTAGCTATTTTGTGCCTTAATGGTTAGCTATTGATACCTTGCTAATTAAATAAGCTTAACCTTTTCAATTAGCCTTATAAATTTAATTATCTATATCTATATATTAAAACCCAAGGCAAAAATTGTAATCATGCCACGTGTCATCATTTTTGCCACGTGTTGTCATGGATTGATAAATGCTGTAGGGTCATGTGATTCAAGTCATATTAAAACTAATCATCAATTTTTCCTCACAAAAAAATAATGTTCATAATTCTAATTTTTTAATCCTCATTATTTCGTTTGCTCATTCATTTAACAGATAAAACAAACTAATATGATAATGAATTTTGTTAATGTTCAATAAAATTTAAAATAAAAAAGATTTTTTTTTAAATTATAAAACCATCAATAGATTTCATTTTAATTTATTAAAGTTATTTTTAAAAACAATTTACTATAGTTTTTTATATACAAAAAAATGACATGGGGCATCGCCCGGGCCTCAAACTAGTTTTAATATATTAATCTCCAAAAATTTTGAAAACTTTTTTCTCAAGCAAATTAGCCAAGTAAGTTCCTATTGGAGTTGCTCTAAGCGTAACAAATGGCACACTATATAAACACACATTCCACCCATATAACACAAATTCTTGCATTTTAAGATCAGAGAACTTTTCCTCAAAAAAACACACACACACACACACAAAAAAAAAAAAAAAAAAAAAAAAAAAAAAAAAAAAAAAAAAAGGGAACTTCACTTTGAATTTAGCCATCAAATTAAATTTCCACTATTTAAACCACAAAGAATACATATTAATCAAGCTATTTATTAATCAAGACCTAGAATGGGACGACGAATACCCAAAGCCACAGAGTAGGCAGCCTCCAAATTGGTCTCTAGAGTCAGAAAATTGGCGATTCAGATCAATCAAGGCAAAGTAGTCCGTTCTATGAAGTGATCATAGTTGAATGAACCTGAAAAATTCTTTGGAAATCATGATGAATGCAGTGTAGGAAAGCTTCCGGGTTTGATATTATCCAACATATATGATGGAATTTGGAAAATCGAAGATTGAAAACATGTAAACCAAAATAGAAATGATCACATCTATGAAAAAGATAATAACATACAAATCAACCAATATCAGTACACAATATAGGATTTCGTACATGACAAAACACACATAGTTATGGTCACAAGTCGAACTTGCAACTGTGTACAAGATCAGCTCAAATGAAATCAATAATTAAAGGGTGTAAGAGTTAAACGAGTGCATTTCTAATATTGTTCATTTGTTCCCCTTTGTTTGCAAGTGAAGGCACCCCCTGATATTCTTTTATTCAAGCAGTAGATACTAATAAAACGATTCATTAATTCAATCAAAGAAATGTCTAAGTGAATCCAACCTGATTAAAGCACTTTGACAATATAAATGTCAAAATCAAGATATAATATGTAGACGCAAATAATAATAAACCCCATGATCCATGGCAAGATGGAGATGAAAAATGAAACCAAATTAATACTCCGTAATTCAAAACAAAGTTTCTAACAAATACTCACATTGCTCTTCTTAATGCAGTAAATGACCTACCACTACATAACCCTGGTTTCATTACTGTAGAGTAGTGATCATATTCTTAGTCCACAACACAACAGTCTGCAACACTTCATGCAGCCAAATACAAATGTGGCTTTGACATTTGTTATCTTAGTAACGTAACAGCTACGTGGTTGCACTACTCCAGAAGACCACCCGATCAGAATTTCATGTTTAGTACCAAATATAACCAAGAATATTTAAATTCAAGAAAACATTTAAACAAGAGTATTATTCTTTGATTATACTACAATACAAATGGTAGTTGAACCAATTTGTGATCAAATCTACAATAAAAGAGATAGAAGAGACGCAAAATATTTATCAAACCAAGAACAGAACTCATATTCATTACCAGCACAGGATAGCAAAATTCACTGATGTGCAGAATCACAAAGGGATAGCAACAGAATGACAAATGTATGTATCAACACAAGCAGCTAATTTCCTCAATGTATGTATCTAGCTATCTACACGAGCAACTGATTTTCACAATGTATGTACCTACAGGAGCAACTAATTTTCACAACGTACGTCTATGAACAGCTATTTTTCACAATGTATGTACCAGCACAAGCAGCTAACTTCCGCAATGTATGTATCCAACCCAAGTAACTAAGCTTCTCAGCAAAGACTTCCATCTGCCGTTTTCACAATGTATGTATCAACACCGTCATCCATCTTCTTCCCTTCCAGTTACAGCAACAGGTGACACAAGGCTTTGAACATAATCCACTATATACACTTTGTCCACAAAATTAGGAACCAAAAGAGTTTCTGGAGGATCGCGACTGAAGTCAGCAAGCATTAGCTCATGCCCATATCTAGAGTAGAAAACCAAAACCCTTCCAGAACTGGTCAATCCAAAAAAATTGCGACAATAATTACTAACCGATCTATAAGTAAACAACTTGGTCCATGATTCCTGCACTCCATATTCTTTCATCATCCACATCTCTAGTTCTTCTATTTGATCAGTTCTTCCCCAAACACACAAGCAATCATTCAAACAGCACAAACTAAAAGCAAATAATACACCTTTCCCAAAACCATCATAAGGCAGTTCCATCCTTGTGAACTCCCCCTGACTAGCCAAATCAAAGGCAACGATAAATTTGTACTTCGTCTCTACTGCAACACTCCAATGCAAAGTTTCATTCACCAGAATTCCAATTCTTTTAATCAAGTGATCTTGCAATACCAGCCTATTTTTCTGATCTTTTCGCGGTGTTTCCTTTATTGTCCATTCTCGGGTTTTAAACGAGTATACAAAAGCAACTACTTCAGGACGAGTTAAGCACCTAGGTAACTCAATGGCAACAATGTAGTAATCCTTATGAGATGAAACATAACCAAACCCAAAACTATGGTTATCATATGACAATTGATAAGGACGAAGATGAAATCCTTGAGGACGTTGAATCTCAATAAAAGCATTAGGGTCTTGACCAAGAACAGGATTATAAACCACAAAACTAAAATCAGAATTAAAATAAGCATGAGGAACCAACAAAGCTAAACCGTTACAAGAATCAACCAACCAATTGAAAGGTGCATATTTAGATTTATCGGAAGCAATAAAATGAGTATTACGGCCAAATCTGCTGAAAACAAAATTGAAATCTTCATAATCAAGAGCCTCAAAGTTGCTATAATAGTCAAGGGTAAGAACAGACCTCGAAGATAAGTGCGTAAGATGGGTTTCGGCGAATTGGGTACTTGAGATGATTGCATTCCATTCACGAGAAACGCTTTTGAATCGGACTAGGGTTTTGGCGGGTAATCTTGGGAGGATTTCACTGAGTATGATGCCTTCTGGAATGTCTGAAAACTGGGTTTTTGCGGCGACGATTACGTCTTCTTCGTCGGCGGTATTTTTCAGCTTCTGGGTTTCTTTGTTCTGGGTTTCATTGTTCTGGGTTTCAGAGTTCTGGGTTTCATTGTTCTGGGTTTCAGAGTTCTGGGTTTCTCTGTTCTGGGTTTCATTGTTCTGGGTTTCAGAGTTCTGGGTTTCTCTGTTCTGGGTTTCATTGTTCTGGGTTTCAAAGTTCTGGGTTTCTCTGTTCTGGGTTTCGCTCGATATGATGTGCATCGGAGTTTCTTCGTCGGCGTCTTCGGTGGTGATTTTCAGCTTCTTATGCGACGGAGATTGCGGCGGAGAAGCCATGGAGTTGGATTTTGCGGCGGCGATTATGGTGGAGAGAGGAAATGGTGGTGGTTTTGGCGGCAACACTACAGTTGGACTCTAAGAAATGCTTTGTTTGAAATCATTCGAGAAAAACTACAGTGTATTTAATATTGGTACATAGTACCAAGATATTTATAAGTGGACTAAAACTAGGAAATTAGGACTAATAAATTTCCTACTTATATTAGGACTAATTAATTTCCTACTTATATCAGGACTAATTAATTTCCTACTTATATTAGGACTAATTAATTTCCTATATAGGTGTTAAATACCGTCATCCAAAATTATCAAAACCGTCAATATTTAGTGTGAATGGACAACCATGTCCTTAGTACTTCACTACTATCTTCCCTCTTGCCATCAGTCACTAACATCTTGACACCACCACCCTAATTGATGACTAACACCACCACCACCACACTGACCGACGACAATCACCACTGCACCGGCGACCCACCACCTTCCCTCCTTTTTTATTTTTTTATTTTTAAATTTCAGGCAATCGCGGTAACCAAAGCCCAAAATCAATTATCGTATATTGTAAACGGAGCCCAAAATCGTTTACCGTGCATGGTAACCGGTGCCGGAGCTCAAAACCGGTTACCGTAGAATCGGTTAAGGTGCACGGTAACCGGAACCCTAAACCGATTTCCATGCGTGGTAGCCGGTTTTGGGCTCCGGTTACCACGGTTGCCTAAAATAAAAAAATAAAAACCACCACCTTCACGCCGCCCAGGGAAGGTGGTGGGTTGTCATAGAGGGGGGTGTGGTGGGTCGTCGGTCAAAAGGGGTAGTGATCGCCGGTTGGAAGGGGTTGTGGGTTGCCGGGAGAATGAAGGGATGGTGAAGTAGTAAGGGTACGATTGTCCATTCACACCAAATGTTGGCGGTGGTGATCATTTTTGTTGGCGGTGTTTAGCAATCCACTAAGATTTATGATATGTATAGATACTATACAACTTTTCTTCTTAGTTCTTCACTTCTTCCTCCCCAAAACAAAATTACAAGGATAACAACACATTTCCTATTAAAAATTTAAGTTCTCACCTCCCTTGTAAAAGCAAAGCCATAAAAATAACATTGCAAATTATCTACATAATTGCACTTTATATTCACACAGCACTACAGAGGTTGCTATTTTGATGCAACATTAATTTTCTAGCCACTATGAATCATATTAGTACCTGAAGCATCAAATTTTGAAGCAACTAAAAAGAAAAGAAAAACCACAAGATGCCTCCTACAATAAAAGTCATAGCTAAAATAATCGCCTTCTGCAATTTTATATCCAGGTTTCCTCCAAACCCCTGAAGTATACCAGAGAAAACCTCTATGCCTAGAATCAACAACAAAAAAGCCAATTTATCAGTATCACATGAGCGGATACGCCTTGACAAGATCACACTGCTAGTTAAACCATACTAACCCATGATTCTTGACCAATGTTGTAGGCTCAACCACAATAGCCGAAAGAATTAAAGATTGTTCTTACCTTTTACTTTAGAAACCTCATCTGCAAACCATGTTTGTTATGATGGAATTTCAATTGTAGGATTTCAACCTTGATTTTTACTCAAAATATGTAACAAAAATAGTTAGCACACCATTTAAAGCAGAATTACTGTTAGCAAAGAGCATAAGAGATATATATTTGGGCAAACTTAAACCAGAGTAATTCTAACTAATTAATGATCATATAGCTCCAAACTGTGAAAATTTATTGCAAATCAGCACAAGACCCATCTAGAAAGAGCAACAATGCTGTGACTTACATAAAATGAGAATGCTTGAAAATATTAAATATGATGTCAATTGTATTGCAGGGAATAGTACAGTATTTGCTTGTTCGCGACCCTGGTTATGAAATAACAATGATTATAGAGAAGCTGCGTAAGTCATGAATGATCCTCTTGGAATTTGATGTCGGGGATGTGTTTAATGTAAGGCCAATCCTCCCCAGGGGGATCTTTTTTACATCTACTCTCCAGGATTTCTGAACATTTCAAGAGCATAAGTTGTTTCAGTGAGGTGAGTTTGGGCATCCATTTCGGAATTGATTAGAGTCTTTTGCAATCTTTAATATAAAGGTATTCGAGGGCAGCCAAGGATTGCATCCAATCAGGCAGACTCACTAGCTGTGGAAGACTAATAAATGACAAAGTGAGGAGAGAGTGATGAAGGTATTGCCATGGCCTGCCATCCTCTGATAGCCTCACATTAGGACAATTCCATATCCGTAATGCCTTTAAGGCATTGAGATGCTTTAATCCTCCAGAAATACTCCTTAGTTTGTCACAATTATAAAATCCTAAGTATTCCAGAGAAAACGAGCAGTTGCGAAACACCTCCTCTACTTCTTCCAAGCTTTCCACCTCCTCTACTTCTTCCAAGCTCTCCAGCTCCCCCTCAATTGTTAAGCTTTCAAGACTCTCAAAAGCCACCATGGACTGAGAATTTAACCATACCACATTGTCTATATTCACGTTCCTTAATGTACTACTTTTACTCGAATTTTCAGGATCAAATATTTTCAGTCTTTTATTGAAGTTATCTAACCGTAGTTCCTCCACCTTGAGACACAACGGAATACATGTCAACTCTGGGCAATTCACTATCCTCAGTCCAGAGAGACATAATCGCATGTTTTTGTTATCTTCAAGGAGAAAAAGATCATCTCTCCATCCTTTCAACATCGGCAAATGAAACAACTCAAGGGATTCCAAGGAAGGGAAGATTAACACTCCTTCAGCACATTCTGATTCAGGCGTGGAACTGAAAACTGATGAACTTAGTTTTATGTACTCCAACTTAAGCAAACTGTTAAGACTAAGGAATTTGAGATGTCGCAAGTTTCCTAGACATGGCAGGTACTCCAGCTCCTAGCAATTCCAAAGAAGAATATGCACAAGATTCGGGAGAAGTGTTACCCAACCTGGCATTCTCACACCACGGTACCCCCATACTTCTAACCGCCTGAGATTCGAATGTGGTTGCAGCTCTTCCATTAATCTTCTTGCTTCCTCAGTATCCACATCTCCATCAACCACCCTGTGATGGAAATGAAATGTAAGGCCCTTGAGATGTTCCTTACTCATTAGATAATGTCCTTCAGCTCTGTTTTCGTCTATCTTAATGACATTTTTAGGCCACTTAAACCAGATATCAAGACAGCCTTTGATGTTGTTCATCATCTTTAGATCTTCCAGTCCATCAAACCATTGTTTTGTAGTTGAATGACTCCCTTCACCACCGACTATAAAATCAGTAAGCCTGTGAAGGCCAGTCAACTTACCCATCCTCTTGGGAAAACAAGTCATCTTGTGGCAACTAGACAACGTTAATAAGGTCCTAAGCTTCACCAGCCTGCTCAAATCTTTTGGCAACTCTTTCAATTGAAGGCAATAATTTAACTTTATGGTTTGTAGATTACATAGCTTTGTAATTGACTTTGGAAGCACTTCAAGTCTGTAGTTCCATGAGAGATCTAAATACCTCAAATGCAACAGTTTACCTATTGATTCTGGCAACGTTTTGATACTTGAATGAGACAAATCCAATGCCCTGAGGTGAAAGCAAGTGGCTAATAATGCCTCCGTGAAGAACTGCTCTATATTCACAACTTGAAGCCACTGGCCAACGCAAAGATATGTTCGAATATGGGACTTGTATAATGTACATCTTGCAACTTTGCTTCTGGTAACTGACAGATGACGAAATGTATCATCCAAGATGCCGCCTAAGGTATCCGTTGCACAAATCTCCAATTTGGTTACTGTTTGAGCAACATCGTGCATAAGATCATGTATCTTAAAATTCACAATATCACCATATACATCTTTTTCTACGTCTTGAAAAAAACATCTTCGCAATAAAATTGAAATATATTCCTCAGCAGCATCTTCAATGCTTTGACCTTCATCCAAAGGGACAATATAGCCTTGTGCCATCCAAAGGCTTATTAGCTTCTCCTTTCTTATCTTATGATCCTTAGGAAACAATGCACAATAGCCGAAACAACTTTTCAATGGAGACTCGAGATTATGATAACTCAGCTTCAATATAGGCATGATGTCATTCTGACTCTCTCTAAGGTTGGCTAATCGTATTTGCGCAAGTGATAGCCACTTACTCTTGTCTTGACCATATAAGAAACTTCCTACCACTCTGATAGCAAGAGGAACTCGAGCACATCCTTTAACAATCTCTAGCCCAATCTTGACCAAGTCATCAGGAGGCATAGACGATTGCAATCCAAAAGCCATCCTTTCAAATAAGCACCAAGAATTCTCCTCTGACAAGCCTTGGAGCTCGTATGTTAGACCATCTCCTATAAATTTTGCTGTCAATTGTGAACGTGTTGTTACCATAATCCAGCTTCCTCTTTGACCTCCGATTAAGAATCCTGCCAGGGCACGCCATTGATCACACTTCTCAGACCATACATCATCTAAAACAAGCAAGTATTTTTTGCCTGCTAGTTTATCGCGTAGATGTTTTTGTACCTGATCCATGGTGGAGTGCTCCTGAGGCTGACCAGTAGTTGAAGTAATCTTACAAAGAATTTCTTTTATATCCAGTTGCTTCTGATCTTGATCAGAGACACAAGTCCACAACCTCAAAGGAAATGTACTTGTAACCCTTGGATCGTTATACACAAGTTGAGCAAGAGCTATTTTGCCCAACCCCCCAATTCCCACAATCGTGAGAAAAGATACATCGCGTTGCACATTAGAATCGAGCATCATACCAATAATCTTCTCCAAGTCATCCTTTCTTCCAATGATATCATCTGCATCCACATAAGAACAGGTCTCGGGCCTTCTCCTCCAGATAGGCTCGGGATCAAGCTTAAAGCTAAACCGAGTACTGTAAGCAATAGCATCCAGTTTCTTTCTAATTTTCTTAACCCCTTGAGACATCTTATAAGCAACACCTAGTGGGTTATCAGAAAAGAAACGACACACCTTTTTAGAGAGACTACCACCAGCCTCCAAGAGTTTCTTCTGTTCAGCAAGAGTAACAAACTCGTCCAGCAGATCATCAGCTTCAAAGACCGCACCCTTGAGCTCATTAAGCATATGCTTTGCTTCATGGGAGAGATCCTGCTTGGCCTCTGCATCAAGAAGCACAGCATTGACAGCAGAGACGGTGCGTCGGAGATCATCAAGCTGGGATTTGTAGCCAAAGACTGTAAGGATCTCTTGAAGCTCTGAGCACTGCAACGCTGTAAGCAGAGTTTGAGCACCTGATAGCACTGCCAACAATATCCATTTTTTTTTTCTTGAAATAAGATGTGAATGAATATGGTAATGATAGATTTGTAAGCTCTGATATACACCAACCAAGCAAGAAGTAATGCAATTGAATATGGTTGAAATCCTGTAGCAAAAGGAGATTAGGTAGTGCTATATTGTCATCATTTCAATATTAAAAAAGCTAATTGGAATAATATAAGATCAATTTGTGACACCGGACCAATTATATATCTTGTATTAGGTAGTGCTAATGTGCTACATTGTCAAATCTGTCATCATCAGTCATTAGCACAGTTAAATACTTAGCATTATGTAAAGCATAAAATTTCAGTGGTCCACGAATTGTTTTTTTCTTTCCTGATTTCACTGATCTAGTGGGGTTATCAACTAAATACTACTGTAGAGGGAAACGGGACAAGGAGTAACCATATACTCCCTCCGTCCCTTAAAGATTATCCCGTATAATAATGGCCCAAATAGAATATGCACATAGCCGTAACTGATTTAATACATTAAAAATCTACAAATAGAAGACCTCAAATCATAGGGATAAACAGATATTGGTGTTTCCGGTTAAAAAAATACACAACACCGAGAGTACTAAATACCCAAAAAACTGATAAAAGCAGTGCAACCTTGGATCCCCACCCTTATAGCTAGCATTTGAAGTGGAACTAGGGAAGAGGTGAATCAGATTGTAGCCAACATTGGTGTTTCAGATTGGTATTCTTATCAATGTGTCTACTATTTGAAATTACTTTTACAATCTGATGTAATAACATAATTTTCTTGTACTCATTAGAAATATATATTCTGATAAAGTACAAACAAAATTTCAATAAGACTTTTCCAGCTTCTAAACTATAGGATTGTCTTGGTGGAAGTAGCCTTTCTCTTCCAGAGTTCCATGGACTCGTGAAGAAAATCTAAGTTACTGAGAGACAGATATAAGATCACAGGGAAAAGTATACAGAAAAGACAGCTGAATCTTATGAAGAAATTAGAATCATTGTCTTTAGACAGTAAAACAATGATCTAAACTATACCCAAACCTAAGATCATATCCTGTTCACGCTGTTTCCTGGCTAGTTGGCTCTATATGCCCCCCCCCAAAAAAAAAAAACAGAAAAAAAAAGCCTGATTAACAGCTTAACCAAAATTAATGGATGTTCATTGTGCAAAATTATTTATGGATATGAGTCAATATCACAGCTTTGGGGCATTCATATAGTGAGGAAATTTCATTTACTGGGGGAAAATGAACTGCCAGACATGACTGAAGAATCTCACCAAAAGCTTAACCAGACTCATCAAAAGGATTGGTTAGGTCAATAATTTCATGTTCAGGCAAGTCAGTCTTTGCTTAATTTTGAGGTCAAATCAAATTTTCAGTTGTTCTACTTCTACAGCAGTTACCAGGATTTCATGTCAAAAGTGTTCAAATCAAGAAAAAAATTGGTGGACTCAGGTTGGGTCAGCTTTGTGGCTTTGCCAAGCATTAGCAAAGATAATGGTAGTACATCTGTACATTGAGTGACGGCCCCAACTCTCTTGTCCAAACTTACTCAAATCAAACTGGCCAAACAAAAAAAAAGTAAGCAAATAAGAACACACGAAACTAAGGAAAAACTTTCAACAAACAAAACAAGCAAAATTGATGGTGAATTAACTAAGTTTATGAAATAATATTCAAAGATGTCCTAATTTAATTAGTTAGTCTCCAACAAAAAGGCTAATACACAAAACTTTCGAAAGTGAGGCTGGCCTGTTATTGAGCACCAAAATAATTTACCACACCACTGTGAAAACTTATGCATTAAAAAACCAGCTAATTAATATCCCCACAATACTAGCTAATACACTTTCAAAACATGATTAGACATTTCGGCCAAATATTAAGAAAGTATTAAAACAATGCAATTCAATAATAATAAGCTAAAAGTGCCACCTGATTGTGTAATAACCAAAGGCTTACTCTCCAGCATTGACTTTCTGTCATCCTTCAGGTTTCTGATATTGGCCATTGGGGTTGTACTCATCCAGATTAGCCCCTTTCTTACCTGCATTAATAGGAAATAATTACCATTTTCTGGCATGTCCATTTAATGCAATCTAAATTCAACTCAACACATACTCTAATTAAACTCAGAAATAACCAACTGCTAAATCAGGTTTGTGAGTCAAGTTTATAAAAAAAAAAAAAAAAAAAAAATAGAAGTTCTAAAAGAGTTCTTGTTTCGCACATTTAGAATCTGCTTATCAACCTCTAGCGAACACAACAAAAGCTGTCAAGTAATGACCATGTCGCAAAACCAGGTTTCATTACTGAAGAATACAGATCATACTCTTTGTCCAAGACATACATACTGTCTGCTGCACCTCATGCAGCCATATATCGAAATATTGATGTAGGATATCAGTAATTACAGCAATTACAAAACAATGCAGCTTTTTTTAAAATCCTCTGGTTGTATTTGCACCTCATGTCCTGTAACATAACAGAAACAAAAAACAACGAAACATTCCCATCAACCCTGCCCCATTAAAACCAACTCATTTAAACACATGAATACCAAACAAGAAATTTGCTAGAACAAATCCATTTCATTTCCAACCAGTTATTTTTTGGTTTGCTATAATAGCAGATACTAGTTAAACCATTTTGTGATTGAATCTACAATAATTGAGATAGAAGTCATATACATTATACATGATACTTTATCAAACGCAAACGCAAACGCAGAAAGCAACTAGAATTCATTCACTAAGTAGACAAGTAGCTAAAGTTTATTCACTAGTTTGCAATATCATTTTATTCATTTATAGAGGGATTACAAACAACTAATTTTCACAATGTATGTAGTTTATTGGCTCGCGTGGACATAATAATTTAACATAAGTCAACTCTAAAAATTGACCAAACCCGACCTCACCGAACCTGATCAAGACGTCCGAATTGACACCCCTAAACATAACCACCATTAACCCGAATAACTTGACCATTAACCCATTCACCAGCATCACTAGCCAAAAACCCAACAACAGGAGCAACATCTTCAACCTTCCCCAACCTTCCTAAAGGACACTCATCAACCACCTTCTTAATCATCTCCTCTGATTTCCCCTCAAAGAACATCTCCGTCGCAACCGGGCCCGGCGCCACCGCATTGACCGTAATCCCAGTCCCCTTCAACTCCTTCGCCAATATCTTCATCATCGTCTCAACCGCCGCCTTCGACGCTGCATAAGCCCCGTATTTCTCCTTCAAAGACCCCACTAACGACGACGACACCGTCACGATTCTCCCACCACCACCGCGGGTAACTCTGTTGGCTGCCTCCTTGATGCAGAGGAAGGTGCCCCGGGTGTTGACGGCGAAGATGCGGTCGAAATCAGCAGCTTCAATGTCGAAGATTGAGGAGTATTTGGAGTCGATGACGCCGGCGGAGGTGACGACGATGTGGGGTTGAGTGTTGAAGGTTTGTTCGGCGGTGTTGAAGAGGGTTTTGACTTGGGTTTCGTCGGAGACGTCGGCTTGGACGGCGATTGCGCGGGGGTGGCGGTGGTTGTGGTGGTGGTGGAGTTGATTTGAGAGACGAGTTGATCGGCGAGGGTTTTGGAGGATGGAGAGGTGTAATTGATGACGAGCTTTGCGCCGAGTGAGGCTAAGTGGAGCGCGATTGCTCTGCCTATTCCTCGGGATGCGCCGGTTACGATGGCGACTCTGTCTTGGAGTGTGTTGCCGGTGGTTGATGAGGATGCCATTGTTGGCGATTAATGTTGTGTGGTGAGAAATGAGTTAGTTGGGAATTTGAAAAGGAAGAAGGGGGGTATAAATAGCGGTGAGCATGATACGGGTATCCGTATTGTTGATACTAACCGAATTGATCCATAAACCGAATTAATAAGTTTGGATACCCAATAAAATATCTATTAATCATATCATATCATCATCATCATAATATAAAACTAGGCTTTTAGTCAGGTCACGAGGCAGCGACACTTGACGTTCCAACTTTTCGCCAAGTATCGTGTCACGTCAAACTGGGTAACCATTAATTTTAAGACAAATTTAATGATATATTATATAATAATAATTATTTATTTTATAAAGGTTAAAAAAATTAAGTCAACCATGGTATGTGAATAGTGCAAAAATCAAAGTGATGCATTTAAAAAAAAACGGAGGGAGTACCCAATAACCATACCGATAACAAATTATATATCGTAACGAATACCCGAACTATATGGTTATTGGATCGGATACCCTAAATTTTTGGAACGGTTACAGATCGAATTTTTGGGTTTTCGGATAGTTTTGCTTGGCCGTAGTTTAAATAAGAGATTTTGAAATGTTTTTTGAGGTTGGTTTGAGGTCCGTGCTTACGCTTTTTTGTTTAGGTGCGTATTTTGAAATTCTAGGAGTTTTTCTTTTTATAATCATATTTGTCAACTTATACGAAGAATTGTGTTTTGTTGTTATATCAATTTTAATTGATTAGAATAAAAGTCAAATATTAATGAATAATTGTCAACTTATACGAAGAATTTGTGTTTTGTTGTCATATGAATTTAAACTGATTTGAATAAAAGTCAAATATTAATGAATAATCTTAGGTATTGTTTGATTGCACTAAAAGGGAAGGGGGGGGGGGAGAATTCATGTGAATTGAAAATAGGGGGTTTATTTGGGACATTTTTTTAATAACTACAATAAAATTGTGGTTATTGTAACTTAGTGAAACACAACCCTTGATTAATAAAATTCATCATAACGACATTTTTTTTACAAAAAAAATAAAAATAAATAAAAAAACTTTTTAAATACCAGAAAATTTTGTGGAACAATGAAATTTCTAATTTATCTTACTTGATGTTTCCAATTTTTTTCATCTTTAATGTCAATTGATTGGTTCCTTGAAAATTAGATACAAATTTCGCAATTATTTTTTTTAATCATCTTCTTCTTTTTCCCTCCCTTTTTCTAGTTTTCTTTAACAATGGAGGATGATTTTTTTTTTTATTAAATTTAATGCAAAAATTATGGGCTTGTAATATATAATGCAGTAAATAATTATTGTTAATATACTGTAATCAAATATTGATTTTTAATAGAGATGGGAGAATTATTAGAACTTAGAAATTGCTAGAATATGCATCAATGGCAAAGTTTAAAATTTTTTCATTAGAAACTATAAAACAGTTTTTTACTCGTGATCAAGAAAACAATATATTTTTTTTAATTTTTAATTAAAAATGAGAGTCAATTGGATGAATGGACAAGATTGAACATTTTAAATATAGGGCCAAGATTAAAACTATTTACAATAGCTACAATTTTATTGTAGCCATTGAATAGTCTTCCGTTTATTTGATTGAACATAAAAAGTTAAAACAAGTTAACTCAAAATTAAATTACCAAACAAGTTAACTCAAAATTCCCAGGATTTATAACAACTACCTCCATAATAACCAAACAAGATTTAGTTATTTTTTTAGGAATTTTAATTCCAATGAAATACAATGCTTATGGAATCCTTGCCAACCAAACAATTCCTTATTTGAGTAATCAAATTAGAACACTTAAGACCATGTGGAACCAGATATAATTTATTTGGACAATCTTGAGATTGGAATAAATATTATCGATCTCTCGGTCCAATTCAAATCCCTTAAAAATAAATTTTGGAGTTGATTTTTTTTTTGTTTTATTTATTTAAATCAATTACAATATATTCCTTGTTACACTGGTTTTGTAGTAAAGGACATCTAAGGTCTCGAATAATTATTGAACATCCCAGAAAGTATTAATTACTATGAAATGATGTAATTATAAAGTATTAAGTTAACTTTAGCAAGAAAGGATGCAAACCATCAAATTCATCATCATTAAGTGTAACATTTTCAAGAGAAAAAATCAATGCATTTTATCAGGGACTAACATTTCAATAGCTTCTGAAAATTTTAGAAAATCATTCTAATGATGATGGTTATGTTATATCAGCAAGAAAAAGTAGGAAACAATGATGATAATGTTGCATCAGCAAGAAAATTATCAAATGGTATGTTGATGATTATGTTGCATTAGCAAGTAAAGGGGGGAAATGATGATATCGATTCAACTACTATTTTTTCCGATAAAAGAGGAGGGCAAGTCCAAATAAATCGGCGCAGCTACTATGAAATCGACACCTTTTAGAAAAGTTGGATAATCACCAACTGGAAAGAAAAACAGCATGTCTTTCATTCATAAATTTGTAATAGACTCATCTTCTTTATCAACTCCAATCACATGTCTTCCATTTTGTAAATTTGTATAGGCTCATGATCATGTGGTGGATCCATTAGTATTTCTGAAGTCATTATGATTTGTACAAGTTTAACGTAATTTATTAATTCACGAATAAGTTTTACGGATAACTTTTACGTAATTTTTTAATCATCCTATTTTTGAAAAGATAAAGGATTTTATTTGGAATAAAAGAAGTGTGCTTTCACAAAGATTAAATCTAATTTAATAAGTTTTGTGCCCCGTGCCCGGGTAATTTATTGAATTTTAAGATAAAACTTTTTATTTAAAATATCCTTCTACGTTATTTGAATTTTTACTTTTGGAAATCACTTTACAATCATACTTGTAAAATAAAATAATATAATACTATTGCTCATAAATATATAAGTGATTTTAGGAAAGAGTTTGAGTTATCAAAAAATAATTTATACATATGAAATGTGTTTTTGGTGTTTTCTGCTCCCTCAAGAGAGTTACAACTCCAAGACTAGTCCGACGCGGTCTGTACCTGCAACACATGAAGACTCCGGTTGGTAGGAGCTCCGCCTCCGACGATCAAGTTATTATCGGTTGAAGAATAGGAAAAGGTGCAGAAAAGGTAAAAGTGAGATCTTCTCGGATTCCGAGATCAGATGTTTTCTCTGATGTGAGGGAAAGTAGGTATGATGCAATAATTGAATGTGTCCCCAAAATGGGGAAAATCTCCCTATTTATAGGGTCATTGGAAATTGC